TAAAATGAGGACCCAGATTGTTGAGGGCAATATGTTGACTCTGTAAACTGCTTAGAGGGCACTTTGTAAAGCACTTTGAAGTTGTATGTAAGTCTAAGCTATTGCTAAGCAATATATGCTATTGCTAATTCAGATTAAACGTGTTCATAAAATTTCTTTACCTCTTCTCTTGCATATACAATAAGACATAATTGGAAAAGTATCATATTAAAGTTTTATCCAAAAATTCTAATGGATATCCTTTGGTCATTGACTGAGTTCTATCAAGTACTGTCTTCATTACATCCCTCCAGTCTGTGAAAGCAATCCTATCCTATTTTATTTTACATTTCCTGAGTAGTAAATAGTGTGACTGTTCAACTCCAATCAATACATTGATGCTTAATGTTAATGTGTAAAAATTCATTTTATTCATTTTGTTGAGCTTTCCCCTGTTCATGTCTCTTAAGGCCCATGTTTCCACTGAAATTCTGTCTTTGTAGCTTTGGATTTTCTTTCCCTGCATTGACCAACTAGACATGCTGAAGCTTTAATTTAGTTATATCATAAGCATTGTAAGGACTATACAACACAGTCCAACAAAATTGATATCATGTAACTTTATCAAAAAGTCTCTGATCACTCAACCCAATACAGCACAACCAATACAAACTCTAAAAAGAATTATACTACTATGCATCAAGAATGTCTCAAAAAACCCCAACAATAACCTATTGAATCAGCATAGCACATAAGCCAACTAAAACCCTTCAAAACATCTTAAGCAAACCAAAAGACCCAACAATCCCAGAAGAAAAAACAGGATTCATCTACATTCTACAACATACAATGTAAGAACTGCAACAACCACTATGGGAGAACAAATCCATAAACACTAACTAGCAGTCAGAAGACATGATGAAAATTCTTTAATTTCACAACATATGGATAGATTTCAATTGGGAAAATATGCTAGGGAATTTCTAGAAGCCTGGCACTCTGACAAATCAGACATCAATAGACACATAGACATTAACATCTATAGACTATGCACACACAAAAAACCTTGCCCAAAAAGGAACAAAAAGACTCCAACACCTCTCCACCAGCAATAAGCACCCAGATCAGCATAGATTAATTTCAAGGCTAACTTCAGACCAACAATCCAATAATCAATACCCCAATCAAGAAACTGCCAAAGAGCTACCAGCCCAACCAAATAATATCTAAGACCACTCCCACCCAAACAGATAGGCAAATCCCCAGAATATAAACTGACAACAAACAGCACTCCTTATTAGCACTGATGGTGTTACCTAGTAATAAAATATGTGCAAGAAAACAAGCAAGCTAGCATCAAGGACCCCTCACTGTAAGATTCCAAAAATATCCTCAATCTTTTTCAGGACATCTGAATGCCATCCAACCTGATGGGCCCATTATTTTGCATTTGAACAATAACCTTGTTTATCACTTTATCTCATGTCAATTCATGTGGTATAAGTACACATATGACACAGATTGAAATTAAAAGGTCAACTCAAGAAGGGAGTGGGAAGTAGAACCTAGAGCCACTATTTTTGCCCAAGGATGTCACAGACTGGCATCAGTCACAATGGCCTATGTCATCATCTTGCAGTAATACAAAAGACCTGGAGTTAGAAAATTATAATTCTTCATATTTTGTTGACATCTATCAGTCAGCAACCTCAGATGTATTGTGAGAGGTTAGGGATGGTTGGGTTGGTAGCCCATCAGCATTTAGAGGGTTCTAGGTTTCTCAGGATCTTTTATTCTATCCAGAAAACTCAAGAAATATGCTCTCTGTATGTGAACTGATTGAGGGCAACAGAAGAATGGGATGATACCACTCGAATGGCAGAAAGTGAAGAGAAACTAAAGAGCCTCTTGCTATGCAAATGAAGAAGGAGAATGCAAAAATTGGCTTGAAATTCAACATTAAGAAAACTAAGATCATGGCATCCGGCCTTTCAATTCCTGGCAAATAGATGGGGCAGAAATGGAGGTAGTGACAGATTTTATTTTCCTGGGCTCCAAGATCACCGCAGATGGGGACTGCAGCCAAGAAATTAAAAGACCCTTGTTCCTGGGGAGGAAAGCTATGGCAAATCTAGGCAACATATTAAAAAGCAGAGACCCCCCCAAAAAAAGAATTTGAATTATGGTGCTGGAGACTGCAAGGTGATCAAACTGGTCAGTTGATCTCCTAGATGAGATCAACCTCGACTGCTCTTTAGAAAGCCAGATCCTGAAAATGAAACTCAAATACTTTGGCCACCTAATGAGAAGGAAGAAAGACTCACTGGAGAACAGCCTAATGCTGGGAAAGATTGAGGGCAATAGAAGAAGGGGACGATAGAGAATGAGGTGGCTGGATAGAGTCACTGAAGCAGTCAGTGTGAGCTTAAATGGACTCCGGTGGATGGTAGAGGATAGGAAGGCCTAGAGGAACGTTGTCCATGGGGTCGCAATGGGTCAGACATGACTTTGTGACTAACAACAACAAGGTTATATTAATCTTGCAAGGTTATATTAATCCTATCAAGACCAATTTAAAATTTGCTACTTTCCCCTAACCTCTTCAGAAAGATTGGACTTACAGCCAGCATGTTGAGCTGTCAGGGAAGTGGCCAGATTAGTGAGGAATTAGTGGGAATCCAAAACATCGGAGGGGGGTGTGGAAATCAGGTTGAAAAATGCTGAAGTTAGAGCCCTTCTTACAGTGGAATGGACCTGCCCTCCTTTTGAGGGAGGTGCAACCACACTCTCTGTGGCACAACTGAATCCACATTTGTGTAAATCAATAAAGTATTGTGTGGATTTTGACAGATGTCTTTAAAGTTAGGCAGCTTGGCTTGGCTGGACTTGACCTGGTCACTTTGCTTCATTCTAAATATTTTATGATGGAACTGACAATGTAAGACAGCAAAGAGAATATGTCACTTTGCAGAGCTACATCCAAGATCTATGTTGCTGAAGTCTCTGTCAAAGCAAAGCACCCCGTGAGGCTTTACATCACCCTGTTAATAACCTTCACATTAGAAACTTCTAATGTTAAACCCCAACCCCTCCCCCACTTGGCAATCTTAAAATTAAATTGATTTTAGGGCAATTAATTTTATGAGAACCTGTAACACTCCAGATTACTGAATCACAACATCTGGTTCAGAGTCTTACCTAGATTAGTGTTGGCAGCTGTAGATGAAGATTGAAAAGTGCTTAGTTTGGGATGGATCATGCCATTTAGGAATATTTTCTCTTTTTTCTTTCTTTCTAACTGATGGCAATATTTCTCCCTTTCCCCCTCCCCCATCCATTTTTCACTCAGTTCTCACTCAGTATGATGTCACAGAAATGTTTCCCCAAAAGAAAAGTGTGAAATTCTCCTGGGTGGAATTTAATAATGAGGTGGCCAACAGGCTGGCCTGTTTTTCTTTGGAGCCTCTTTTGTCTTGCTGTTGCATCCACCCTGCCTTCCCACACTTCTGTTAAATATAAGGGAGCTTCTGCTCTTGAGAATTTTGTTTCTTTCCCTTAAAATAAAACCTGGAAAAATTACCCACCCCATTTTTTTAATCCACAAATTTATTCACAAATAATTTCAGGGGCTCATTATTACCAGTTGTGTATGCCTTTCGTATAGCTGTTAAAACAAGGGAGTTATATATTTCCAAGCAATTTCTGGTACTATAGTCAATGTGAAAGATGCAGCCATTGCTAAAGGACCATGGATTCTTTAGTCCTGCTGTAACATGACAGGATTAACTTGACTGAAGCTGTTTGGGAAGAACAGTGGAATTGGATTAGGCAGGCAGAGTCAAAGTGGGTCCCTCCTTGGAGTTCAGGGTTTGGATTGAGCAGGTGCTTCTGAGATGTCCATAATCCCAAAACCAAACAAATACCAGACAACTTTTTGATGAACATGATTTTATTGATTATTTTTAGAAATATATCTGCATAACTCTGAAACCTCAGATTAAATATCAAGGAAAAAAGATCGCCCAGTTGGCTACAAGAGAGTCAAAGAACATAAATAGTTTTTTATGAGGAAATAAATAAAAGATGTTATTTAAATCTTAGGGAAGTCAACTTTTTCACTGCCACGTCTTCCACTGCAAACAACATCTATTCAGGTTGAAGAAAAGTATGTGCATCTTATGAGTCTAGCAATTGGGAAGGGGTGGAGTCAGATCTGGAATGTTGTACTGTTATTATTATTTGCAGCTTGGCAATATTTAGCAACATCTCTGCCATCCAAAGACTGGAGGCACTTTTCCCAATAGAATAAGCCCGAAAGCTTATAGGTGACACTAAAGGAATGGGAAGAGAAGGTTCTTTAAACCAGGCTTAGGCCACCTGTGACTTCCAGGTGTTGCTGAACTACAACTCCCAGCATCCAGAGAAGACATGGCCTATGGTAAGAAATGTTTGAAGTTGTAATTCATAACATTTGAAATGCCAAAAAATAGTATACACCTATTCTAAGTTCTTCATCTTTCCCCAATTTGGTGCCCATTATATGTGTTGGACTACAGTTCCCAACACCAGCATGGCTGATGAAATTATATTCCAACATATGTAGACGGTGCTATGAAAAGGAAGGCATTTTACTATATGATTTAATCCCAAAATAGTGTGCTGAACCTGGTACACAAAGACAATGTGTCTTAGGACACAATCCCAACAAGTAAATAATTTAAATTCTCAATAGTTAGGCTCTTAGGCTTCAGAGGCAGATGATCACATCTCTGACTGCAAGAGCTGTAGAGCAGTGATCCCCAACCTTTTTTATGCCGCGGCCCGGTACCGGCATCAGCTGGGCGCCGCCATCTTTTTTTGATGAAAAAGTGCTTCCGGTGAGCTTTCTACCCGGAAAAGCTCACCGGAAGCACTTTTTCATCAAAAAAAGATGGCGGCAACCAGCGGCCCGGTAGGACTTGTTCTGCGGACCGGTACCGGTCCCCGGACCGGTGGTTGGGGACCCCTGCTGTAGAGTATTTAGAAGGGGAGATGGATCAGTATAGATAGTACAGTGACCATTACTGGAACTTAGCTATAAATGCATGGAGTGTTTTGAGCAATTTACATTCCCCAAAGTTGCATAGAGTCAAGGATTGGTATACAGAATAGAGATTGGAAGAATGAAGTAACCATTTTGTGCATGCTGCAGGCCCACTTCGGTTGACCACAGCAGAGCTTTGTCTCATATTAAATCCCAAGAGATTGTATTAATGCCTTTATGTTCCTCCCACTCCCATATTGAAATTTGCACATGCCCAGCTTTAAATTCAGGAATGATGTCCAGAAGTATCCGGATATCTCACCACACAGAGATGGTATTGAGCATACTCATATTATTTTTAGGAAGAATTCTCTTGGCTTCTTTCATCCTGCTCGGCTTTCATCAATGATTGCTGCTAATTTAAAGATGGTCATCTTTCCAGATATTTTTTCCATTTAAGCTTCTTTGAATTCCCTCCCTTTATTTCTCTTCCCCCAATTTCTCTCTCTCTCTCTTACTCACTCTCTCTCTCTCACACACACACACACCTTTATATGCCTCAGTAAAGTTAGCTGTCTGTACAGATCAGCCACATAAGACACTATGTGTACACTGTGTATATTTCAAGCAATGCTGCAGCACAATAGGAAACCATCCATCACAGACAGCCCCAGAAAGAAAGAAAGGGTCAGGATGGCAAAGTATTAAACTGCCCACTCCACCCTGTATTTGGTAGATACCATATCAGCAACTTCAGAAAAGGAATTCTGAGAGATGTAATCCCAACACGACTGGAGGGCACCTGACTGGGTAAATCTGTTGTAAAGACAGTGATCTGGTAAGGTTGGATTATTCGACACAAACACCTGGCCATTTTGCTAGAGAGATGCTAATCCTTTGTCCATTAAGGAAGGACAAAGAAGTCTTGAAAAAAAAAGTAGTAGTGCACAGAGCTTGCCTCCCCCTTCAATGTTATAGACAATGCAACCCTCTCTAATCTCTGACTCACTCCTCTCTCAGACTGAGAACTGCTACCATCTGCTCAATTTGAATTCTTCCCTCCCCCTTGGAGCTCTCATCCAAAGCTGGTAGCTTTCAGCCACACCAATTTTGAACCTCTGGTTGGGAAAGCAGCCATGATGGCCATGTCCCTCCCTTCGCTCAGTCCCATTTTGATTCCAGCGCCATCAAAAAGAGAGGGTGGGTGAAGCAAAAATCTCTACTCTTCTGGGCTGAGGTCTCACCAACAGCCTCCATCTAGAAGGAATTCTCCAGCTCCACCTGGTTGGTCTTGCTGCCCCTGGCCCTGGGGACCCGAGGTTTTTTGTTTTTCTGAGGACGAGTGGTCTCCTTGCTGAAATCCTTGAGCTGAGAGCGATTGTGATAGCGAGTGTATCTCTTGCATTTGCAGGAAGTGATGATTCTGGACTTGATAAACTGAATATCCTCACCAGGGCAGGTTAACTGGATACGTTGGAATTGACCTTGCGCCGGGATGCAGCGGTAATCCATGGCACGCTGCCTCCACCATTTCCCCTTGCCAATTGAATTGGGGAGGAGATGAGTTGGCAAGCATTGGCCAGAACATACGAGCTCCTTAATCGGCTTGGTGCTGCGGCAAGGGCCACTGGTGATGTAGCGGGTGGAATAGACTTCACGGCAGCCAAACTGCAGGGGTTCTATGGAGGAAGAAAAATAAATTATTGCACTAAAGCCTATTGGAGGCCTCTTACAGCAAAGAAGGAAACAATACAACTCACTTGATTATTTATTCAGCACAGAAAATAATTCAAGCACTTTAAAAAATATATCTGGATATTAAGGAGTTTAGTGATTCAGGTTGCTAGTGAATGGTTAGAATTTATCTGCAATTTGATGTGGAGCAGATTAGAAATTGATTTATGCTCTTGCAGTCTTGTGACTGGATCTTTGCAGGACCTTGGAGAGCTCTTAAGGAATATAAACATTGCTCCAACAATATGCAAAATAGGAATCCAAAATTTTTGGCAGATTGTTGAAGAGGATTTAGGGCCTGGACTCTAACATGGTGCCAGACTTGATAATATGCCAACGCATGTGTCAACCAATATGTTTTTTGACACCTTTTAGACTCTTTATCTGATTGTTTTTTTAAAAATGGGAAAGACTACAAAGCAAAGCATCGCATCTCAGGCATAAGCTATATTATCAACCATGCTGCTAGCTGCACCTGTACTCTAAAGGCATTTTTAGAATACAAACTGGACTGGCAGGTTGGCTGCAGTCCAATCTTTTGATTGACTTCTGCTAAATGAGTGTTTTGTTGTTGTTTTTGGTTGGGTATAGCAATCATGGCAACCATATTCTGAAAGTGCCCATATGTTTTGATAGTTCCACAGCACCATCTGGCCCCCCAAATATTGAAGGAAGTGTCTTTTTTCAGCAAAGGTAAAAAGTCAGCTGAAGCTAGAGTTGTCCTGTTATATGTCTAAAAAAATTCTACTTGTCAGCAGACTGAAATTCAAAACAATCCAACCCTGTTTTGACTCAACACAATGTTAGTTTCTTAAAATTTAAGAATTTTCAGGATGCACAAACCCTTTGGTAACAGTGAAGTGATGGAGCAGATTCTAATTAAGCAAGTTATGTCTGAACATTGACCTCTCAAATCTACCTATGACAGGCCCTTAGCATTTTAATACTATATTTCTCAGAAGTTTTGCTGCAACTCTTCTGAGTTTTTTTGATAACCCCATTTGGCAAGTCTGAACTGAAGCTTCATATACCAGAACATTTTGTTTCCAGCCCCAGTTATTCACTGATAAAAAGAAACCCCTGCAGATGGTGAAAAAAAAAGAGAAAGATTGCCTCCTGTATCCCAAACATTTCAGATATTTGCTCAAACTCATTTTGGGAAAGCTAGCTTTGGCTTTCCTCCTGTGACAAAACTAGGATGCAGAAGACTAATCAGAGACAGATTGGAAAAGGAGAAGCAGAGATGCCAAGTACCTCTGGCTATTTTGATTGACTGGGCATGCTGGCATGCAAGTTGAAAGAAGCCAACTTGCAATGCCTTTAAAGGACAGCCCAGTCTAAAATACATTCTAGAGCAGTGCTTCTCAATCTTGGCAGCTTGACAATGTGTGGACTTCAACTCCCAGAATTCTTTAGCTAGCTATTCTGACTGGGGAATTGAGGTAGTTGAAGTCCAAACATCTCCAAGCGGCCAAGGTTGAGAAATATCATTCTAGATGCCTTTTAGATACCCCTTTAGCCTAGCTTGGGCTCTGCACAAAGTAAAGAACCAAAAGTTTAAATTACCTGGAGGGTAATTTGAACTACTATACGTCCATGTATTTGCCAGAAACTAAATAAATAAAATAAACCTGGAGGATAATGTGGTGGCCTTTCTCACCCACTTGTGACTAAATCTAAGAACATATTCTGTATTTCACTGAATTTATCCCTCTATTGTTTTTTCCCTGGCCTTTATTGTTTCTGCATATTTTATTTAAATGTAAATGCTTTAAGGGAAAAGGTTGACTCAGCCCCTGGCATAAGTATCATGCATAGAAATTTTTCTTAATATATCCTGTTTAAATTAATATTAGTATTCTTGTAAGATTTTTTTAAAGAACTAAAATAGAAATGATGGTAATTGTTTTCTTGTTTTGCTTGAGTAGTTTTGGAAATGTGGGGAGCATAAAAAGATGCTTGGGGTTTTTTTTTTAATCAATTCTCCCCTTTGATACATTTTCATTATAATTGCATCTTCAGAATTGCAGTTAGTTGCATTTAAGGGGATAAAAAACCCTCCTGGATTATTGAACCTGATTTTAGATTGTTCACCCTATATGTATTTTATTTCAACAATGCTTAGAGACTTTAATTATTTCTAGAAGATAGAGAAAGTGACTAAAAGTGGCATTTGGTCAACCTAGAGAACTTTCTTTTTTATTTCCTTCTTTTTCCTCCTTTGTGGTTTTCTCTCTGTAATCCATTCTCCCTTTTAACGATCTATTTTCCTATTTTCAATTATAATTAACACAGTTTGAACACAAGATTTTACAAAATTTTGATAAGACCCTGCATAAAATAGCAATAGATTTTTATGGTATCAATGGCTGTAAATAATTCAAACAGATTTTTCTAATAACAGACTAATATTCTAAACTTATAGGGTCCCTTGGAGTTGAAGACAAGTGTCCAAATATATGTGGCAATATTGCAATATAATCACTGCTTCTTATATTTGCGTGTGACATCGGGATCCAAATATGGAAGGGCAGAATTTACATTAGGGTGCCCGTTATTCATTATTTTAAAATAACCAGGGTTACAAATACCATCTATGTCCAATCTTAGATTTAAATCCAGACACTTATAATGGAAGCAAGTAAGAAAGGAGGGAGGGAGGGAGGGAAGGAAGGAAGGAAGGAAGGAAGGAAGGAAGGAAAGAAAGAATTTTGTTCGCTGATCAGTATTGGACTAGTAAGTAAGTAAGAAAGGAAGGAGGGAGGGAAGGAGGGAATCATCCCGATCTGTAAAAAGCAGCGTCCTTGGAGTCTGCAGTTCTCCCGAAAAAGAATGTATTATCATGCCATACCTACCAGCTGAAAACACGGAAAGCAGGTTAGAGAAATTGTTTGAAATGTCTTACCCATCCTTCCCGAAGAAACCTGGGAATTCCGCCCTTGCTGGGCTCGGTTGCTGGTGATTTCAGTCTCGTTGTACGCAAACGCCGCTTGCGCTGGCTGCTCCGCTGCCCCAAAGGTCTTGTCCAGAAAATCTGGGATGAACTCCGCGGCATCGTTTTTAAGCACTTGCCGGCTTCGGCCGGAGGGAAGGTTGACTTGGAGAAAGAAGAGTAGGAGGCCGTAAGAAGCCATCGCTCGGAAGATCGGCATGTCAGCAGGAGGGCAGGTGCGTCCGGCAGTCTTCTGGCTTCCTGAGCTGAAGAACCTTATTTCTCTTTTTAAATTCCTCCGAAGAAAGCGGCTAGCCAATGATGGGGAGAGGGAGTGTCCAGGAGAAGTGGGCGGGCTCATTTGGGCCAGCCCGTTTGCAGAGACCCAGGAATTCGGGTGACAGAAGGGGGGCGCGGGGGAGGGGGGCGTTGAGTGTCTACAATTTTGCTGAACCTCACCGGTTTTATTTGCACCTTTTATAATAGAAAAAGAAGAAAAGTTGGATAAGGGGAAAAAAGTAGAGGTCTTTAGCCATTTCCTAGGCGTCTTTTCCCACGAAGACATGTTTTGAAAAAAACATTTCATTTTTTCCCTCTGTTTTCAAACACATTTCTGACTGATTTGAGGCCTCATCTTTGGCCAAAGTGCCAGTTACAAAATTTCCTTCCTTCTGGTTCAAAAAACCCTACTTCTATGATTATGCCCTATAGAAATTTCATTTGGGTGGAAAGAAGAGGGGATATTACCAAATAATTAAAAACTTTGATTCATTGATTGATTCAATTAGTTGATTTGATTGTGTCCAACTCAAGGGGGCATACGTAAGATGTCCTCCTGCTTTTCCTACAGCATCCAAGTGAGGTGAGGTGGCTAGGCTAAGAGAGAGAGTGACTGGTCCAAAGTGATCCAACCAGCTTCCATACCTAAGGGAGAATTGAAACTTAGGGTCTTTGGTCCTGCACCTTAACTGTTATACTAAACGGGCTGTTAATGTGAGAGTCCAGTCTGTCTTGTACAGCTTCCTTCCATTCCCCATTGTGATAAACTAAATATTTTCAGAAGCTTCACCATTAAGAAGGCAACAGTGACTGCATGCAAGTTCTTCTTCCCATACAACATGGCTCTGACCTTCCAATTCTGATCCCCTTCTCAAGCTTGTAGCAATCAGCACATTTTGGAGGAAGAGGTTCCATGGGTAATTAGGGACTATGAGGAACATGTTGTGTCATGAGAACAACATTGCATTCTCTCCTCTTCCCAAGCATAACTTTATCCTGTCTATCTAAGCATATGTTTTTCTATACCAGTCTTCCATCCCTAACACTACCACGGTGGTTTGGATTTCAAAATCTAACTGATCACAATGGCTGGGGATAATGACTCATATATCCAACAAATCTAAATGACTTCAGGGACAGATGCACTGTTTTAAGGCAATATTCTAGTGTAGGTAAAATTGAACCCAGGCATTTTCTAGAATCTTTTCTATTATTTCATTTGTTCTCCATGTGTCCCTTTCTACATTGCTTGCATGTATCCATACTTCTTACTTGTAATGTTTAGAGCTTGGCCTTTTTATTTATTGTTCTGAATATAGGTAGCATCTATCAAATTATACCTGTACTCAATCTGATCATTGTACTTACCAAAATTAATAGATGAAACGTGCTAGTTTTTTTTAATTGAACCCATTCGTATCCTAATATTCTGAAGGACAATTGTTTCTGGGATGATGAGAAAAGGTTATACAATCAGTTTTCTTGCCTTGGAGTAACCTATGGATGCCACAGAAAAAATGGACTTGCCTGGTTAATTGCTTATCTTGTTTAACTAAAGAGATGTTTAACTAAAACTAAAGTGTAGGAGATGTTTAACTCTTGTTTAACTAAAGACAACACTCTATCAAATTCAAACCTAAAACTCACAAGCTTTCTTGAGGAAAAGAAACCACATGATTGGCACATTATTCTCCTAGACAGATCATTTAAACAAAAGAAAAAATGTGAAGTAAACACAGTTTGCATCTTTTCAAATAAATGTCTTTTTTTATTTTCTTCCACTTTTTACTGCTATTTGTTATGAAATATTCCATATTTTGGAAAATTATCCATGGCTCAAACATTTAAATAGCAGTGCATGAGATTACCTGACCATCAGTAGGGTTTGCAGAAGAGCTTCTGCAGAGAAGGGAATAAAAAGAGCTATGAACATCTTGATCGGGGTTTGCTTTGATCTGTCAGGCCTAGATTGGCATGTCCTTGAATCAGCTACATAAGCAGATAAGGCCTTTTAGGGGTGCAGTATGGGGCACCCAGATGAAATCCATGCTCTTTATGTCCTCAGCACCCATTTAACTTGTGACTTCGAACTTAACCCTTTCATGGATTGTGTAAAATAGGCTTTTAAAAATTATGAATATATTTTGACTCTACTATTGAAGACTAAAGATGCATTCTTTAAAAAAGAAGATGAGATATGCACATTGGTTAGGTGGGATAAGAATGGTAAGTTACCGTGGGAAATGCACCTTCTGTTTTTTCTCATAACAGTTTTTTTCCTCTGGAACTAAGCACTATAACATTTTTCTCTAGAAACAACCAAAACTGTGGTTTTAGAGCAATGCTGGCTGGGGAATTCTGGGAGTTGAAACTCACACATCTTAAAGTTGCCAACTTTGAAAATCACTGATTTAGAGAGAAAAAATGTGAGTGTAGGAAATGCATCTGCTCCCTTCCCTCAAAAACAAAATATATCTTTTCCCTCCCTTGTTTGTAGTCTTTTTCCTTGGATCTCTATCATCGAATTTCAAATTATAAAGTCACTTTCAGATGAGATTCTAAAATATCATTTTATTCCATTTTTCACTTCTGTGTTCTCAGGCTAATATGAATTCCAGATTTCCCCCCCTCCTCCTGTTTATTTATGTGAGCTTGTCCTCACCCACCCACACCCACCCCTCATTTTTCTGTTTTCTCTTGGGAATGGGAAGGAATTTGTTCAATTCCAAGCAGGAAATCATCCACTGATACAAAGTATCACCAGCCAGCCTAAACAAACATGTCCTCACCACCGTTTCCGCTCCCTTTTCTGAGTAAGAATTGCAGATTTACAGAGGAATTATGAAGTCTGAACAAGGAAGAAGTGCTTCATTTCTCTCCTTCTCTCTTTTTCTGCAACCCTCCTCTGATGCACATATATGTATTTAGTACACACAAACCAAAAAATTATTTGCTTGGTTAATGATAAGTATTACGTAATGAAGTTAGCCATTGTGAGTTATGATGCATTATGATTTATGACTTGGCTCATGTCCATATACACTTGTATACAACTGGAGTTGCAGCAATTCGCAGTTAGATAAAAACAGCTACACAGCCAGTCAATCAATTCCTGGTTGCATCAACAACCAAGTATAGTATCAAAATCAAGGGAAGTCATTATTTCTCTCAGTTGCATTGATCTGACCACAACGGCCATATTGTATCCATATTTTTGGAAAGCCATTGAAAAACTCGAGTGCATCAAATAAGAACTAGGATACGAAAGGGCCTAGAAGGAAGAAATTATGAAGAGAGGTTTGCAAGGAGAAGATTATGAGGAGATATAATGGCTTTCTTCAAGTATTTGAAGGGTTATCCTGTAGAAAAATAGATCTGCTTGGAATTGTTCCAAAAGACAGGACAAGAAATAATGGGACTGAATTACAAAAAAGTAGATTTTGGTGGCCATCTAGAAAAAAATTCCTAGTGGTAAGACAGCAATGGAACAGAATACATCCAGGAATGGTAAACTTTCTGTCACAGGAGATATATAATGCAATGGGCAGGAACTAAATCAATACTTCCCAAAATTTTTCTTTTGTTAACTGAAAGTACTTGTCAGAAAGTCTTTTTCATCCAATGTAGGTAAAACCTTTTAAATGTCCCTGTTGTGAATGGGTTTTATATGTGTGTGTGTATATGTGTGTGTGTGTATATGTGTGTGTGTGTATGTATGTATGTATGTATTGTATGATCCCATGATTGTAGATCATGAAAGATCATCTTCCTGTACACAGTGCTAATGAAATCTGTCCCATCAACACTGCTAGCAGTCATTAGCTCTGGAATAACTGTGAAGAAACAAAAAGATGGCTGAAAAACTGTATCCATATTTGATACCGAAATGCAAGTCACAGCCTTGTCAGTTAGTTATATAAGACGCTGGAAAATGTAGCATAAGCAATATTTAGAAGGTCGTAGGAGCCCCTATCTAAAAAGGGCACAGTGCCCCATATCTACATTTGATATAAAAAACAGTTGTTATTCAAGCGAGCAAAATATAGTTTAGTCTATGTAGAAGCGTGTGGAGCTCATGAAGGAGTCAAAACATGCCCCAACACTAGTTGTGCAAGTCACAGTCAAGGTTGTGTATAATCATGATTCTCTGAGTGACAGCTGAACAAGCACGGGATTTTAACCACTAGATAAACATATCTAAGCTTGATTTTACTAGCCTATGACTCAGATCAAATGGGGAGGGGGAAGGAGAGGAGATGGGGGGGCAGGGGAAAAGAAAGGAAAGAAGGAAAGGAAAGGAACAATTTCTAAAACATAGGTACCAAGTAGTTTGACAATCAGAGATCTTATGAGCCACAATGAAGCAGGCAAAGTTGTTCTTTTTAAAATGAATTAACGTTAAATTCTATAACATAATTCTTAAATCTATTTGGGGAGATCTATCTGCCCCAGTATTAAATTCTCTCTTGTGCTCTCCTCTGAATTGTGCTATTGGAAGAGATACATTATGTGGCAACTTGAGAGGGGGCTTCCTTAGCTTTGGTACACCAATAAAAAATCCTCCCTTGCCATGAAGGCAAGGGAGGGATATTGGTAATAGACTTCCAACTCTTTTTGTGTAGATTTTCATTGCTTTCTTCTTTGGGTGATTTGATCATCAACCAGATGTTATCTATCCCTCCATATAATAAGAATAAAGGTAGGTTTCTTTGGAAAAAGAGATAGCCCATCTAAAAAGGTCAGGAGGACATTTTAGTTGCTTCCACTTCTGTTCTATCTGTGAAGAGCAAAAGCACACAAAGGCTTCCTTGGATGCAATCAAGTTGGAAAGATTTATGAGATCATTAAACTCACTGCCTTGCCCACTGCAGGTTTCACCACACCATGTTTAATAGATGACTATCCAACCAAGCCACTGAGGTCTCCAAATACTGCTAGCAGTGCATACCTCTTAGTGCTATAGATGGGGATTTTTGTCTACATGCCCACCTTCACCCCTGTTATGGGATATGGTGCCCAACTTATCCACACAACCTGCAGTTTTGGAAAAGTTGATTTAAATAAACAGTATTCAGAGCACACACTTAAATCATCTACTACACTTGCCTGATAGAAAGATGTCATTGAATAT